TCACATACACCAGTTCTTGTTCAGAAATATTCCAAAAATTTCATTGATTATTAGCATCATCATCATGTTTCTATGACAACAAATCCGAAAGTTTAAATTCTATTTTTTTCAATAAACAAAAAGAAAAAAAACCATAATGATCAATGTCTAATGGTAAATGTAGAAAAACAAAATTATAACCCGAAAAAAAGAGAGGAAAAAAAACATATGGCATGTTTATATATAGAAAATGACAACAAATTTCACATTTGTTTTTCATTTCAATTCTTCCTAAGGCTTCATTTCAAAACAAAAATAATAATAATAATAATAATATTGATGTGAAAAACAAAAAATAAACCGAACAAAAATGTACATGGTATTTTTGTTTCACTTTGACATATACAACAAAAAAAAACAACCAAAATCTAGCATATTTCCAAATGAAATATGATAAATTTTTCTTCTTTTTTAGTTTAACGATTCTTTGATTACAAATATATTTTGTTGTTGAATAAAAATAGTTTGAATTTATTAGTTGAATTATGGTTTTCAAATCATAATCTGGTATATCATTATATCCTGTTGTTGTTATTTTTCGATTTGTTTTAAAAAAATGTTTGACATTCATTTTTCCATTGAATTTCAAAGAAAAAAACAATGACATTTTTTTTTCTTCTTCCAATGAGAATAACATCCTTGATAAAGTTCAATGTTTATTAATTTCATCATTTGATTTGTTTTTTTTGTTTGATGACCAAAAGCAGAAAAAAAGTGTTGCAATCACTTTTTATATCGATCAAATAGATTTTTTGTTGAAATTTCCTTTTTTGTTCATTCATTTCTTAATGATGATCGATCGATTAAATCATTATCATTAGAAAATTTGCTTTTTCCTTAGTGATTTTTTTGTTTGAAAACCAAAAATCAACCTGATGAATTACCTAGTTATTTTGTTAAACTAAACTAATAAACAAAACAAAAACAAAAACAGATCCATGACATTCATTCACAATGACAGTGTATATTATCATCCACGTTATACGTTGATGATGATGATTGTGTAATTATTTTCTGTCCAGGTTTACAGTCTATCCGGATGAAGACAGTGTGATTGTCATTATTTTTTTATTTGTTTTTGTCTATTTTGGTCAACAAAATACACAAATTTATAAATGATTTTTTTCTGGTGTAATTAGTGAATTTACTTGGAATCAACTGAATGAATTATAATGGTAAATATAATTTACCTTAATATACTACTACTAGTCTTCTTTCCTATTCTAATTTCAAGCCTATTCCCAAAAAATTTCATGCTGAATTTTTTCCATTAGTTTTATCTGATCATTAATTCTTCTCTTCATGATGATTATTGCTGTGATAGTAGTTGGTTGTGGTAATTAATTAATCCATAGATAATCTATTGTTTTTCAGCATTGAATTTAGAATTTTTTTTTTGTTTCATTTACGATTTTCGTCATGTCGGAAACACTGTGTTTATCATAAGTTTGTCAAACAAAATATTTAAAATTCAAAATCTTTATTTTAGTTTTTTTTCTGGTTTCGATTAATGCATTTCTGTTATCAAACATTATGTATGAAATTTCATTTCGAAAAAAAATCCGGTCAAAAGGCTTATATTTCATATATGTGTGTGTATGATGATTATGGTAGAGGATATCTCATATCTGAAATGACAGACATTGAGAGAAAGTCTCATATTTTCATATATTTTTTATTTTGTTTAGTTTTTTTTTGCCATACAAATCACCAAGACAGATGTATCAGTTCCGTTCGGAACTGATACATCATCATCAAGGATACAACAACAACGACAATATGAAAGTGAAATTAACGACGACAACAACGATGATGATGACAACAACATTCCAAACAAACTGAATTAAAATACATATACTTTGTTCATGTTGTTGTTGATGATGATGATGATAATGATTGTTTGTTTGTATTTTGAATAGATGGATGACATTTTCTCTTTTAATGGCCAACGTGTATTATCATTAAAAGTATTAAAAAAAAATATTTACATTTTGTCATTATCGTGTGTCAACCCTCTTACCATAACATCGATAAAAATGAACCAGATAGAAACGAAAATTTCGAAATCATTCCGTTTTAGCAAACATTTTTAATGCATCAATCAATTATCATAATAATTTTCAGCTTTTTTTGGTTTGTCTTGTATGTTTGAATCCATAAAACATATTTAATTAAATATTGTAGTCGATCATTTTATTCAATTTCTACAAGTAGATTAGTGATTATTGATTTTGGATCATTACTTTATTTTTTTATCGATATCATCACCACTATCATTCATTTAAACAGTTTTGTTGATGAGTCAGATTAAATTGAAATAAATGTTATGCCTTTTTTTCTCTCTCTTTGGTTAACAAATAACTTTTTTTACGCAAAAAAATAATAAAAGATTTCCACATAAAGATGTAACCATCAATCTCGATCGTGTAGATGTTTTTTCATAAGCTATACACCGTTAATGGAATTAATTAGATTCATCATCATCATCGATAATGTTTGTTTTGTTTGAATGAATAATTATCATTATCAAGAATCAAGACCGGAATTTTATTTTCAATGTTAGAAAGTTAAAAAATAAAAAACATTTTTTTCTCCCAACATCTTATTCTTCCGGCCATTAATGAATAATTTTGTTTTTGATGGGTTTTTTCATTAAATTATTATCTTCCTATAAATGGCCATGGTATCTGCACGTTTTTGTTGTTGTTAAAAAAATTCAGCATCTAAACATCTTGATCATCATCACCAACATTCATTTGATTTATAATCACTTTATTCATTTAGATAGCCTTAGGTGTTAAGTGTTTTGAGAGAATTGAACAAAAAACAAAACAATGAAAGTGTTTGTTTGATGATTTGAAAGATGATTTTTTTTACTGATTCTTTTCCAATTTGATTCAAGTACAATGATAGTAAATGATTTTTCTATTATTAGCGGAAACATCATCCCATTTATATTAATTATTAATCAGATTTTCGAAAATTTATTCTTCGTTTGTTTTTCTTTTTCTTCGATATGTTATTATTGAAAATTTTCTTTGCCTATATTCAAACAGTAGAAAAATATCAATAATTATATTGATTGCTACCTTCTTTTAAATGATTGTCAATTGTTGCCATGAAATTTATCGTTATTTTTTAAATTGTTTTGTATGAAACTAAAAAAAAATGATAATATCAATCAAGAAATGATTGAAATGACAATAACATCATCATCATCATTATTTTGTTGAAAAAAATAACATCCAACAACTACTTGTTGGATGTTTGTAAATATTTGGATGCGGCTCATCGATCAGGCACACTTACTCACTCATTCTTACACACCATTTGAATGAATCATCATCATCATCATCATCATTATCAAAATCGACATTGAAAGTGTCCATTAAGCACGTTCAGCAACGTTGTTGTTTTCTGAATGAATGAAATAAAAACGCCGCAGTCTTTGTTGTTTTTTTTCCTGAAAATATTATTGCGATTTTTTTCCATTCGTTTGTTTCACATCCATGATGGATAATCACAAATGATTTAATCGATTTCTGTCTGTTTTTTTCCAATGATGAACAAAAACAACAACAACAGCATTGATTAAAACATTACTTCTATACAGTTTTTTTTGATTAAATGAAATGATCATTCCAGAAAAAAGTCGGCATATAAGTGTTTTTTGATGTTCGGATATCTATCACTCTATGGGTTTGTCGTTGATTTATTCATACTTAACATTATTATTATTAGAATATCAAATTGTGCTATTTTGTAAATCTCTATTACCTCATTTTTGAATTTTTTTACTTTAACTTATTTTATTTTATTTTTCATTTGGTAAGTTTCATTCATAACCAAAACATTTATTACTCGTAATGATTGTCAATTTATACTGATCAGAATCAACTAAGTTTAATGACAAATAATATGAATAATAATTTAAAAATATCAATATCTTTTTTTCGGAATGATTTTAATACCACTATTATTATCATCATCATCAAATAGACAAACATACATACATGCATACATGCACATAAACGAGATTAGTGATAAAATTTTTTTTTCGGAAACTATACTTAATCATTCAGGATGTTTTTAGTATATATGTCTATATCTTTATGTTGTTTCTTTCTTTTTCCGATGAAATTATATTTCTCTCTCTCTCTCTCTCTCTCTCTCTCTCTCTATTTCATTTGTTTTGTTACATACTCAACGATCTATACCCAAATACCAATGTGATATATCATTTAAATGGTAACCGAGAAAGAAAAAAATTATCGTAATCGGTATCGCATATCAAATATATCCCAAAGACAAGAAACCCAATAGAAACACCAACAACCAAAATATCAAAAAAAATCACAAACCACAAATGTATGTAGCTATTAAATGAAATAGATTAGATTTGTATAGATAAACACAGTGTAAGAGAAACATTGAATTGCATTTGTCGTTGTTCTGGTTGTAGTGTTAGATTGACGATGATGATGGTGAAGAAAAAAATTGAAACAAGACAAAGACATAGTAAATAGAAACAACAAAATAAAGTCATACTCTTACGGTATTAGATCTTGCAATTATTTGTTTTGGAAAAAAGGGGAAGAGAAAATTTATTTTCAATTTTTTCAAAAATAAAATAAAAATCCAATTTTGATCTTGAAAAATTTTAAACAAAAAATTCTTTTTTCTTTTATTCTTTACAGGATTAACATCGATGCTTGTGTGTTTATCTTCGATTTTTTCTTCTTCACATCCAGTGTTTTTGTGCATTTATTTTATTTTTTTTTAAGTGAAAAAAAAAATTCTTCGAATGTTTTCTCGAGGCCTGTTATAAAATTTTTCATGCTTTTTATCATCTTATTCTGTTTTTTGTTTTTGGCATCAAAATTTTAAAATTCATCAGTTATTATTATTATTATTATTGATCAACAATGAACTTTTGCAAAATTTTTCAAGATAAAAATATTTTATTATGATCATTTATACATAGCTCATCACTATCATCAAAATCATCATCATTATCATTATCATCATCATCATCAACATCATCAATCCGAAACTAAAATATCGCATACAAACAAAATGGATATATTACCAAGTGGTCATTTCTTTAAAGAATTACAAGCCATACATGATACTGGCTATCTACCGGCACATTTATCATTGGAAGATAAATGGGAACAGGTTAGTTTTTGGTTGATGCAATGTTTATTATTTGTTGTTATCAACTTACAATAATCTTACATTTAAGAAAAATAAAAATGAAATTTAAAAAAAAAAAAACATTGAAAAATTAATTTTTGATTGAATCTTGTCTGATTTGCTTTGCTTCGCTTTGCTTTTCCTGTCTTTGTAATTCATGATTGATTGATTGATTTTGGTCACTATAGTGTTATACATGAAGAAAGTTAAAAATTATTCACTTTTCATTATTCTGGCTAATTTTTTTTCTATCAACATTCATCATCAAAAACACTCGTCTGATTCCTAATCCTTTACTTTGATTGATTGATTGATCGTTTCAATCGAAATAATCCTCTTGATCATTCTATTTTTTTTTCTTTGAGTTCCATTATCATTTATTGAGAGAATGTTATCGCCCTCTCTCTCTCTCTCTCTCTCTCTCTCTAGGATTTGTTGATTGTTTGTTTGTTTGTTGTTGTTAAACAAATGATATCACATCACATAATTCACCAAAAAATAAAACAGCATTTGTTGATCAAGTTCCAAAATAAAACGAAATGTCAAGTGATATGATATAAATACTTGACATTATGCAGAGCCAACAGCAAAAAAAAAATTGCCTTTTGGAAATTCTCCTTTTTATCAGGCAATTTCCGATCCTGTCTTGGCTTTGAATAAAACAAATTATCAGATTTCGAACATCAATAGGACCTAATTAACTGAAAACAACAACAAAATTCAGTTTAGTTTATTGATTGATGTAATGATGCTAATGATTCATCATCATCATCAATATGTATGTTATGTTGGATATATGTGTGTATTTGGGGACTATATTTTTGTTGTTGTCATTGTCAATATCTTATTTTATTAAGAAAAAAAAAATATAATACTTAATGTTGTCAAGATATTTCTCTCTCTTTTTTTTGGTTGATTTGATATCGAATAATATGCTTTATTGCAATTGAATAATAAGATTATTTTGGGCCATATATTATCGTATTATATTAATTTGTGATATGGTTGATGCAGTTGTTTGGAATGATTTCTCTATTTTTATTTGTCTTACTTATATGTTGATCATTATCAAATGAATGTAAACGTATTTTTTTTTTCTTTTGACTAGAAAAGAAGAAAAGTTTCTGTAAATCTATTAGTCAATATATTATGAGACAAATTTAAATCAAACAAATATTTCATTTTTTTTTATATTGATAAATCCTTGATATAAAAATGGATCATAAATTTTTTTTTGTTTTGTTTTGTTTTTTTCTATTGTAAATTATTATGTTGTTTGTCCATGTCACCCAAACATATGAAAAGCAATGGAAAAGTTGTTGATGATAAAATATATTAAGATAATTTCTCACTTTTTCTCAGCTTTTGTAATTTGTCGTTTTTTTTCTAATCCTGTTCGTGTTTGGATCTTATGATGATGGCATGGAAAATACACAGAAAATTTTCAATATTTTTTTCAACATTCTTTGTTGATCAAAATTCAGAATTCATTTTTCAAAATTGCAAAGTTCTTCAAAAAAAACTGTGCCTAAAGGCAGCACATTGTTTATACGTTTGAGTTTCGTTTTTGTCGTCGTCATCATCGTTGTTATTGTAAAAAAATTGGTTGTTCAATGCAATTTCTTGAAATGTATTTTTCTGCTATGTTTTGTTTGTTGACATTATTATTATTATTTAGGATCTCTGATAAAAATAGTGATGATGATATTGACATTTTAGTTTTTTTTTCTTCCATATAAGTAAATAGTTATTTGACATCCACTCCATAGTAAATGTATGTTGCACGCGGCATTTTTTTTCATTATTAAGATCTGATCCGATTTTATGTTCCTGGTAAATATTCGAAAAGTTTTGCTCTTCTTTTCTCTATCAATTGCTTATAAATTGAGAGGGAAAAATTGGGAATTGGATTGATCTAAACGAAAAAAAAATGATTGATCCAATTCATCCCTTTCTAATAATCATTTTCACTGAATCGAAAATATCGAGAATCCAAAATTTATCTGCAGGCTTTTTCTTTGGAAAATATATTCAATTTCAATTTTCATAAACGAAAAGAAAAAAATTTGATTAAACTTGAATTCAATTGAATTTCCGACATGAAATTAATAATTTTTTTTTGTTGTGTTAATGTGTGTGTGTGAGTGCATCGTGTGCATGTGACACGTGTTTTGAGTGAAGAGAACATGTAAAAAAACCCGGGTAATAAGTTAGCCATCAAATCCATATGGTTCATATGGTTTTCTCCTTTCTTTTGATCGCCAATGTTTCGGTCATCACCATTATAACATTGTTTGTTACAAATTTTTCCAGAATAAAAACGACAGTGTCAGCACAGATGTTGTTTTTTAGGGGAGGGAAAAAAATTTCCATTTCCAAACAATAAGAAAAAAAATGAAATATTTGATTGCAACATGTTTGCTAAATATGTAAAATTATTATTATTATTATTCAAGTTGGCAAACAAAAAAATTACTATTCATAGAAATCAATGATTCATTTTTGGATTTCATTAATTCTTTGTTACTGCTTATTATAAACATCATTATAATGATGTGTGATGACCATCAAAACCACCAATACTACCATCATCATCATCATTATCATCATCATGACTACCACCTACAACCCTTGTTTCACGAACCTCTTATTATCATCATTATTAATAATGATGATGATGACAATAAGGGCATATAATTAGCTTTTTAATGTTTGTTGTTGTTGTTTTTTTTCAGATATTTTATTTTCTTTCTCTCTGTATGTTTATCAGTAAAAACATATCATGTTTTTTTTTCTTTCGCATCGAAAGAATTTAATTTGTTATTTCGTTTTCGTTGTTTTTTTTTCTTTCATTTCTAATTTCGACAAACCATTCCGAATATAATAGTTACTGTCATCATCAATGAATTGACCGAAAAGATATTCATGTTTCTTTTTCTCTTTTTTCTTGGAAGAACTAAAAGAACTAATGTCTATTGTTTGATTCATTTATATATGCGCCTAATGTACATATATATCCATGAATGGCCATGATGATGATGATGAATTCATGCACATCGTGAATCATTATTGTTTTGATAGAATTTTTTTTGTTATAATGGATGCTTCATGATGATGTGGATGATGGAACCATACTAAACAAAACAAAAAATAAGAAAAAAAACACACTGGTTGATTTGGTTTGTTTTGTTTTGTTGTTGTTGTTGTTGGCACCATTCACGTAATCATCATCATCATGCAATGAATCCTGAATGAAAAACTTTTCACGACGATGATGATGACGATAATGATGATGATGATGTCGATGGTGAAGGATGCGGTCGGTTGCCCTTCAAAATGAAAGTAGTTTCTTCATTTTTTTTCTCTTCATTTTCATTTCTTATTACAATTTGATTTCATGCTTCATTCACACACACAAAAAAAAATATTCTTTCATTTCTGGTTTCTCTTTTTTTTGCGTTGTCCTTTTATGACTATTGTTATGCAAATAATGAAACAAACGAAAAACCAGAAATGAAAATTTTTTTGCTTTCAATTAATCGCTCTATTGACGATTTTTGTTTCGTTTTCATCCAATATTTAGGAACTTTTAAAAGTGTAAAAACACAACAGAGACAAGATTGATTTTAGAATCATTTAGGCAACCATCATTTTGTTGATAATCTATTTCTATTGTCCAATTGATTTCACTTTTTTTCTCTTTATGAAAAAAAAACAAAAGTGGGAATCGATTATGTTTGTTTGGGAAGAGATAGTAATCATGATGATGGTGTGTCAGGCAACAGTGTCTACAAAGTCATTCCATTAAATCATGGCTATCTTTTTTTCACTAATATGAAAACTTGGCGCCTGAAGGCGTCATTCTTTGAAATTATTTCATTGTATGTGAATTTTGATACACACAAGCCAAACTTTAATATAAATCAGTAGGTAGTGTATCATCATCATCATTTACTTACAATTTTGATTCTCATTCTTTACCCTGATGCTTTTGTTGTTGTTAATGTCGTCATCATCATTGTCGTTGTTTTTGTTTTTGCTTTGCGATTGTTTCAAACAATCAATCTGGCTGACTAACTACCTGATGCTTTGTTCAGAATAAAATTTCTGTTTTCACAATTTTTTTTTTCTTTATACTTTCATTAGTTTGATATATAATTATAATTTACTCAACATTATTTTATCCGTAGACATTTGAAATGTTTGGCGGCTGGTTTGGTCGATCGATTGGTTGGTTGGTTGATGTTTTTTTTTGCTGTTGTTGTTGGTATAATATTGGCCGCCAAATTGACTTACTGACTTAGAATAGTGATATTCTAATATATTATATACTTGATTCATTTCATTTCGTCTTTTTTTTCTTAATATTTAATCATCGCATTCAATGATGTCTGACGGACACACACACACACACACACACACACATTTCACATTCATTCATCATGGTCGTCGTCGTCTTCGTTTCTTCGTTAATAATGAATATATACTATTCAATGATTCTATCACAACCATGATGTTTTTTTCTTCTTCTTTAGATTGTTTGACTAATCATCATACAAATTAATTTTATGTTTCTCTTTGAAAAAAATTTAAAAGAAAAAATTTCAAACAAACCAAAAAAAAAAACCAAGCCTAAGAATGAAGGAATTTTTTTCCGGACAAAAATCTTCATCAAAATGATGTTTGTCGTGTGTCATGTGTGTGTGCGAATGCTAAGCTGATAGAATGAAAAATTTTGATGAAAATTTTTGTTTTCTGATTCAAACATCAAATGATGGACAAATTGATGATGATGATAATGATCTCATTATTGTTAAAATAGATATTTTCCAAAAAAAAGAAGAAGATTCTAGCCGTCTGATATTTGTCATTCAAAATGATAATTAATCGCAGTACAAAATCACACACACACAGAAATAATATAATGATGATCGACATAGATTATAAATATGTTGCTGTGTGAATTGTGATTTTGATTGTAG